TTCACAAAAGACTCTCCTCTCTTACAACACAGATAGCACAATTTTCAAGATGAGTTAGTTTATTTGAGAACAAGATAGAACTTGTCAATACCAGGTTCCTAAAAGAAATTCTATCACTATCCCAAAAAAGCAAAGATATGACTTTCCTCATTTAATCATATATTACTTTTAAAGAGATTCTTCTCAAACTTACGCTTACCACGTATTCAGTGACGACACCTTTGTAAATCTCGTAAAATTCTTCCACATTTGCACGCTCCATGTTGAACTAAGAAAACAAAAACGTTAGCCAGTCTGCCTTAAAGAACAACAAAAAAATAGACAGACAGCCCTTCTTAACCAGAAAACATTCAGAATACGCAGTTTTACTAGATAAAAGGAATCGCTTTACAGCGGCAATATGAAGTTTGTCAAAAACTTAGCCGACACCACAGGCAACATAGCACACAGTATCTTCTTCCACTTTAAATATAAGTAGACAACGCAGTATTGGCTGATGCCACTAAGACATGCAAGAGGATCTTTTTATTGCATATTAAAGGAAAGGGGCTATTCTTCATTTGTAGTGGAGATTTGAGTCATAGGGGGATTTCATATCTTAAGATTTTCACAAAAATCAAAGGGCAGGACTTAGAGGACTACTCTCAGGAATAACCTCTGTGCCAACTTCCTTTCACTGCTGAGGGTGACCAGAGTGTCAAAATCTTTTAAGTATCTTTAAAAACATTCCTCTAAATTATTACTAAATATGTATTTTTTAAAAATTAAGGAAGGGTATTAACAATCATTTCTCTAATCTTAGCTAGTACATTTTGTAAAGATATCTCAAAATGCTCCAGAAGAGACAGATATCATTATCCCCTTCTAACTATAGGGAAACTGAGAGGTAAAGTGTCTTGGCTCAAGGTCACCCAGCAACGAGAAACAGATCAGCTGATCAATCAAATAATAAACCACAAACATCACAAGGACAATGTTGATCCCAAAACATTGCTATACAGTCTGCACAAGAGTTTTATATTGCAGGAAGACACCTGTGTATTTCTGTGAAGCACATACAACATTTCTCCAACTTCTGTTTATTAGAAAAACATACACAAAAAGAAACCTACCATCTGCAAAGCTGAGATCTGAAAACCTTCATTGATGATGGCTTTTATAATCTTTCCAGCTAGCCCTAAAGAAATACACAAAAGACAGTATTCAACTTTAAAAAGCAGAATTTACAACTGGAAGGTATTTATGCCAATATACCACTTATTTTCAAACCATAAAAAGTGTTTGTGTACTGCTGTGAGAGGAAGCAGAGAGCAGAGCTGAGTTCACATACTCAATGTTCTATGTAAAGTGACTTGTTGATGGTTTCAAACAACTAAATTCCATGCAGCTGTTGAAAAGAATCTCTACCAAAAAAGGTAATTAGTGAAGCCTTTGCTTTTCTCAGATTAACTGTAAAACACTCAGTTGCTGCAAGATCAAGAGTTATGTTTCTAATGAAATTCCATTGGCAGTCCTACTTTAAGCTAGAAACAATGCAGGATGATAACAAATATTGCCAATAAACCAGGACAAAAGTTCATGTCTTCTATGGGAAAAACACTTTAGTGCAAAATAACCTACTGTTTCTAACTCACAAATATGTTATTGCTGATCGTACTGCTTTATTCTCTCCAGAATGCATCCTCAAAGACTGAATGACATTGTAAAACAAAATACTAAACTTTAGAGAACAAGAACCACTGATTTTCCACTGAATGTGTATTTTAGGCTTGCCTATGCTCACAAGATCAGGCCATTCTGAAGATTATGTCAGCCAAGCACAGTACTCTGTGCAAGGGAATTTCATAGAATCACTGTTTATATAGAACATAAACACCTGTCCTCTAGTACAATTTGTGAGAAACTACAAACTTCTGGACATTTATTTAGAACAGAACTAACCATAGAAGAATACCCTGCAATGAATGACAACAGCAGGACTTGACTCCTGGTCATTAAATCCTTTTATTAACTAGTCATTAAATTGCAGGATTTTTTAGCACTGCATAAATTTAGTAGATGAAAACAAAACAAAGCTAGTATCTAGGTTCAAGATCTAGTACACAGTCTGCTAAGACTTGTGGTATAGGACTGGTGAGCTTCCTACCACATTAAAAGGTCAGTGGAAGCTCTGAGTAAATGAGACTGATAGTTGGAATGCTTTCAAAAATTGTTTTTACAAATGAAAATGAAAAAAACTGTCCCTGAAGTATCCCCCACTGTATTTTCAGATTCAGGTTTATGCAGAAAAACCTTCCCCATATAAACCACTGCATACTTCTTCCAAAAATCTTCAAACTACTACTAAAGGGAAAACCTGAGATTTTGGTACATACTCAGTCCATGTAGCTTGTTGGGTTTACAGAACGTAGAAACAAGCAGAGGCAGGTGCAGTTCCTGTCCCACTATGCTGTTACACCACAGCTCACTAGCACTGATAAAAGGTTCCTTATAACACTCCTGTGAAACCTGGGAAAAAAATTTCACCTTTTTTCCCCAAGGTGAAAAAAAAAATAATTGCAGCAGCAAAATGAAGGGATTTGGACAAGTTTGCCCAGACCTCTAGTTTCTTTTTGTCCACACTGCTGGAAAGGCTGAGCAGCTTAGATGCTTCCACACAGATTCCAATGAGGCAGCGAGCCTACAGTCTTGACTTCAGAGATGAAGGGCCAGTTTATAAAGAGATTAAGTGACTGGCTGGGGATCATTCAGGAAATAAATAAATGAATAAATAATCTGTGACAGAGCATAAACATTTCCTCATTCTCAGTCTTCAGAGCCAATACTTCAATCAACAGCCACTGCTTCACCAACAAAGATGAAAAAAGGGCACTGGCAGACAAATGGTAACGACTGCTTGCAGGGACAAGGTTATGAGAAAGGTATGAGAAGGCTGCTTTGCCCAACAGATCTCCATTTAACACTTCATCAGTCAAGAACGGGCCACTTGCATAGGCCTTCACAGCCAGCAAGCATCTAACTAAAATACATCCGATATCAAGCTCTGGGGTCCTATGGAGATCTGCTTTTTACAGAACTTTTGTCCTCAGCAGTTTATGAGCTGTAAGCAAAATCCATGTTTTGGAGAAACAAAGGGGGACTCAAATATTCAGCTTTCTGGGCTGTTTCTCTACTGAAGTCATTAAGATTTTTCTTCTCTGTCGAGAGGAGACAGGCTCCTTTAACGATAGAAAACAAAGTAGTAAGGTATTTCGCATAAAGGTCTTTAATACAAGGTTCTTTTAATAATTAACTGTGGTAAACCTATCAAGATTTTCCTCTACATTGTACTCTTGAGTTCACTGTCACTCATCAGAGCAACAGAGCAACTTGTTGCTCCAGACAGATTGCCCACGACTGCAACACCCAAAGGCTGAACCAAAGGAATTATTGTCACTGTTGTACACAGATAGATGCCTTGTCAAAAAATTTCAAAGTGCCTTGAGAAAGAGGCATGAGATTTCATTTATGTTTGCAAAGTGGGATGTTAGCTCCACTTCCCAGATGTGGGAATTGAGGCACAGGAGGAGAAGTGAGTGGCCAGTGCCAGCACAGGTGTACAAATCCAGTGGCTTGGCCTCCCTTGTCCTAGTTTAGGCCATACACATATTACTTCTCCTAGGGACACTTTCCTTTCAAATTCTACCTGAATCAAAATAGAAACAAAAAGCATGAGGCAATCCCCAAGCAACAGAAGAGTGGAAGCTCAAGGCTCAGCTTGGGATCTTGTTTCAGGCTTTTAGCCACTCGCGTGACTGAATTGGGACATGTCCTCTCCTTCGTGGGCAGAGAAGGCTGAGGAAAAGAAGATCTAATTAGATAGAATGCCATTTCAGCAGCTTTCAACAATTTGTTTTCAGCTTTAAAATCCAGATCTGTAGTGAAAAAATAACTTTTTAAGGACCCTTCAAACAGGGCCAGTGCATGTTTAAAATGTGATTACAGTAAGCACCCAAATCAAAGCTGCAGATTAGGCACCAGTTATGATGAATTTTCAGACACAAAGCACAAAAGAATCACAAGCATTACTAAATACAACCAGGGGAATTTAGTACTAATCCTAACAAATATCAGAGTGAGAGACAGAAGGACAACCTGCACACGCTTTATGTCTCCTAGGCAGCATTATGTTACTACGCACCTAATACAGGACAGATAAACTTCCAACATATTTTAATCAGATAAAATGCTAAGGCACCAAGAACTCATCAGTTACATTGATCTTCCACAATTTGTTGCTTTACAACACACAATATTTGAAAATTGTACTTCATCAAGAAACAAAAAGTAGCAAGGAAGACACCAGACTGAAAAGTGTTACAACTGTTTGCAGAATTATGGATAGGAATAAAATAAAAACAGTTCATAAAAGTAATTTTTAACCTAGCAGCATTTTAATTAACAGGATGTAACAGCTGTGTTACCGGGACCTGCCAATCCCAGCACACTACGAACCACCAAGCCCTGCGACTAGGGATGTTACATTCTCTTCCCTTTGTTCTTGGCCTGTTTCCCAATTTAACCATTCCACTGTTAAAAGCTTATTAGGCAAGACAGCAGACTGCCTTCAAAGCAAGTCAAGAACTAGCTTCCTCATCTCAACCTCTATATGTCATTTTTTTAATACCCTTCCAATAATTAAAAAGAATTCCTCTGGAACAACAACTTTTTTTGACAGGAATGCAAAAACTGCCATGACTGATCAGATCAAGAATCTACCTAATCCAATAACATATTTCTAGAAGTAACAGGTACCAGATGCCTAAAGTAGCACTAACTATATGTAGCAATTTACTTCATGTCTATTTTTGAGATTTTAAAATGCAATTCTGCTTCACAGTATAATGAAATTATCTGATGCCTTATTGGTAAGTGTTAAGGTCCTGTCCCAAAACTCCAGAGAATCACTATCAGGTTTGACTCTGAGCAAAGTCTTTTTTGAATTTCAAAAGAGGAAAAAGCAGGACTCAGAGCTGGGCTCTCCTGAAATGTATTTCAATTGAAGTTCCCACTAATCTCTGTTTCAGACCACATTGCAAAATATTATGCAGTAGGAGGCTGACAGATGTCCTCAAAAAGTGCACTTCTTCGCATCAGTTCATCAATCTATCCCCTGAAGAACAAGGTTTGTCTCTCTCTTCTCTTAGAGAAGAGAGATTTTTCTACTTAGAAATAATGCAACTCTAGGCATTCCTACTATGCAACATAAATACACCATTTCTAGACTCTCCAAAAGTTTGGCCGCAGCGATAATCCACAGCTATTGATCTCCCAGGCTTGCTGTGTACTGTATGAAAAAGGATATCCAGTCATTTCTGTATTTGTACTCTGGAGCACCAAGAGAGTCACAGAGGGACAGAGGGTCTCCTCAGTGACACACACTGGGCCAACAAAGGGAAGGGGAGCTCAAAAGTGACCCAGCCTAACCATGAAGGGAGGGGAAAAGACAAGCAGATGCAGACAGAAGATAAAGAAGGTCATATGAGGAAATAATGAGAGAATATTGTTCATAGTGATAGATTCCAAGATTTTCCATCATTCCTCATTTCTCTCTAGGCATTGTATTAAAGAAGAACTTTAAGAAATTTGAAGGACAGCTTTACAGATATTTATGGAAAACTCTCCAACACTGCAGCACTGGTGAAAATATTTACAAACAATATTCATTTGAAAATATGAAAAGAGTGAAGACAAAAAGACATCACCACTGCTTTACTGGAGAATAGAAGCTGGCATTTTGCTAGCACAAGAAAAATTATGCATACAGGCAGTAAGTCTTAGGGGACCTTGAAACCAAAATGGCTCAGTGTTTGGTGCAACTGAGAACATGCACCAACAGAAAGATTCAAAGGGCGTGGAAGGTTCAAAGGCTTAAGCCCAGCTGAAAGTTTCTGAACTGCTATGAATAAGACAAGATCACACTTGTGAATGCCAGACAGGGTATTAAAACACAAAATGATGAAAATCTGCAGGAAAAAAAATAAATCTGCATGGGTACAGATGGGAAGAGTCACACTTAAAGTCCAGATACAAAAACCCACACAGAAATTCAAGTCAAAGATCACAGCCAGGTTACAGAAAGTATCTAGCAATGTGGCTGAGCAGTGTGTGCCACCTGAGGGGGGAATTTGAGGAAGA